CGCCGGCGTGCTCACTTCACAGATGCTGCAGTAGTGCGCCGGCTCGTTGTGCGTCCGCCCGTGCCACACCAGCTCCTTCCCGCCGGCCAGCAGCGTCTCCCTCTGCGTCTGGCACTGCTTCAGGGTCCGCAGCAGGCAGTACCTGCCGGACACACAAAAAAAGCCGCCTCCGGTCAGCTCGGAACGGGCCGGCGGCTGGGGCAGCCGGAGAAAAAAAAAAAAAAAAAAAAACAACAAAAAAAAAGCACCCACTTGATCATCTCGAAGAGCTTGTGGTCCGACACTTTGATGTTCCGGGCCATGTTCCAGGACAGGTGGATCATGGGGACGATGGATTTGACGCTCTGCAGCTTGTTCCACTCGTAGCGCTCCACCGCCAGCTTGTACTGGTACGCTGCGGGGCAGAGAAGAGGTTTTTTTACGGCCCCATTTTTTGCCTACGGAGCCCGCGCCTCTTCCATTCCTGCTCTCACCCGTGAGGGGCCCCACGTTCCAGGCGATGTTGTTGCACCAGCCGATGGCCTGCACCCAGTGGATGGTGCCCGTGTTGAGCCACACCAGGTCCCCCGGGCGCTGGATGAAGCGGTAGACGGGCACGTTGGTCTCGTACAGGTCCTCCAGGTTGGGCCACCACGAGCCCATCAGGAAGTTGATGTTGTTCCTGCTCGCCGAACATTACGACAACCAGGGAACTAGGTTAACTTGTTGAAATAAGGGTATAATATGTCTCCTTTAAATCTACAAAAAGATAAAGATCAAGGACGCCGTGATGTGTGTGAATAATTCCAGGATTCCTGAACTAATTTCTTTGGATGTTTGGATTATCGATTAAAAAAATCAAATCAAAACAGGCACTCTGTTGGTTCCCACCTTTAATGGCGTCTTTAATCTAAGATCTTTGCGGTCTTCTTCATGATGCCGAACACCTTCTATTATCAGTGCAATTACAATATAATAAAGTCCCCTCTAAAAACGCTGGATGGTTAATGTCTAACCCGACGCCAGCTGAGACCCAAAGAGGATGCCGTCATGTGACGGCATCCTCTTTTTTTTAGACGCCCTGTTATTGTTTTCGCGCAGGAGGTTCTCGGAGAATCAAACGTAAACATGCGACATCCTGGCAGATTTAGGGGAGTTATTGGCTTTGTAAATGTTTGAGTAAGAACGGAAGAAAACACAAAACAAAAAAAAAAAGGCGTCCGCAGAAGCTGCGGGCGAGCATCGGCGGGTCGGCGCCGGACGCGAGTCCTCGCCATCCTCGCCGCCGTACCTTTCGCAGAAGTCGTTGATGACGCCCCAGTACAGCTCGGGCACGGCGAACCACTCGCAGTCCCCGGGGCCGATGTTGATGTTCACCGAGCAGAAGTTGTTGTTCTCTTGGTGACCTGAGGCGAAAAAGACGAAAAAAAAACGGAGTGACCGAACTGACCCGGAGGTAGGAAAAAGGAAAAACCCGCCCGCTCCCCCGGAGGCCCGCGTTTATCGCCCGCTTACCCGGAGTCCTGCTGCCCGGCACCTTCATGTACAGCTGGACGGTGTTCATGCCCAGGATGGTGTGGCCCACGTGGCTCAGCAGGTTGCCGGCGGACACCACCCGGGCGAAGGCGGGCAGCTTGGTCAGCTCCTGGAGCTGCTGCTTCCACCTGGGGAAGGGGGGAGGCAAGGGCCAGAATGAGACTGGGGACCACTGGGAGGGAGGGGGGAGACGTAGGGAGGAGGTCACTGACTTTTTCTCGTCGGAGAGGTCGATGTTGGTGCCGAACTTGATGTGCCTGAAGGGCCCTTTCCGCCGCCGCATCGCGCTGGGAACGCCAAAAGGAGAGACGGGTTTTCCGGTTATTCCGAGGGCAGACGGGTGAGACGTCGTTCAGAAAGCAAAAGAAAAAGAAAACCCACCTGTCTGAGGAGCCCGCCTCGGCCTCCACCTCTTTTTTTCTCTCGCTCTCCTCCTTTAAGGGGAAACGAAACGGTTAAAAATCGGCCCCGGCTACGGCTAAGAGTTCATACGGCATCTGGCTTCATTGGGGCTCGGCCCGCACTGACCCGCAGGGACTCCTGGAAGGACGAGGCCTGGTACTGGGCGTACTTGACGATGGTGGTGTGCGAGCGGCTGCTCTCGCAGCGCCACATCTTGCGGCTCCCGCTGGGGTCCCAGTTCTCGTCGGTGGGCTGGGCCAGCTGCGTGCGCACCTCCACCAGGTGGTCGGGGTTGGCCTCCACCAGCGTCTTGGTGGAGAACAGGCCCAAGTCTGCGGATGGAGCGTGGAAAATATATAGAGTCTGAGAAAAACACACTGACGTGACAGAATTAACCAAAAACACTGGCTGAAATGTTGATTTTTTTTCCTCTTTTTTTCTTCCATCATGGAGACTCCCAACAGAGTGAAATGACTCTTGGTTACAAATTTTTGCTTTTTCAAAACCCATCAGCCTCAACAATGAAACGAGGATTGTGTGTTATCTTAATTTGATACAAATTATGTCTTCTTATGCACATATTCTACGAATAATCTTATCAAACGCTATTAAGAGCTGCCTCTAAGTGTGGTCCATTGGTGGTCCAACTGCTGTTCAGGAGTATTTTCCAAAGTCCTTATCTTTGTTTCGATCTTTCCTCAATTGGGGGATATTTTTTTCCGAACATGCGCTACTAAAAAACGCAGAGAAATGGCATGTTGGGGGATTTTTTTGGGGGACAATTTAACCAGAGTTGTGTAATCAGAGGTGATGGCCCCCGTCCCGTCAGGGCAGCCGTAAAGCCAACAGTCACTTGGCTGGTTTATGAACCAGTGATTTGTTTTTTATGGAATTATGGCAAAAAACTCCAGGGTTTGGAACGAGTACCAGGCCATGATGCGTCTGGCAGAGAGGTCAGGGAGTTGATAAGGAGAGCAAAAAAAACAAAAAAAACAACAACATGAAGTTCAATTCAAACATCCAATCCTCCTGCAGGTGTCTCCCTTCATGTGTGACATTTGGCACAATTTAAGTCTATGTGGAGCATGAGAAAAGGATGGGGGCCCAGCCAAGGCCGCGGCAGCCCAGTGGAGCTAGTTTGAGTCCATTTCTTTTTTTTTTAAATTCCAGAGTATTCATTTTGAAGCTTTTGTAAAAAAAAAAAAAAAAAAAAAAACAGTAAAAATCCCGGTTCTCCACAAAATGCAACAACCGCAGTTATTTTTTATATTCCATACCTGTGATTGTTTGTCATTAAATGATAGACGTGACAACGTGACTGTTTATGCGAACCATTCATAGCGGTGAGCACTAAGCCCTGCTTCATCCCCGTCCACCATTTTTAGGGGGAAAAGCGGGGGTTTGGCGTGTGCAGTAATGCTTTCCGCTTGCAGGTGGTGCTGTTGTTGTGCATGTTAGACGCGTGCTCTGACTCCCTGGGTTACGGCGACACACCCACAGAGCCGCGCCACACCGGGGGAAGCAAGAACCTGCTCTTACCCAGTTTGAGCGCTCCGGCCAGTCCCCTGATGACGGTGACCGGGTTGGCGGGGTTGGTGCAGAACTGATGGAGGGGAGGGAAGAAAGCGTCCCTTTTGTTTTCGAGCTGTAAGCCAGAGAGGAAACAGAGGGTTTTATTTTTTTTGTCAGGGAAAGCTGGTGGGGCAAGAAAACACACACACAAACGCGCACACACGCGCCCTCTGCGGTGTGACTGTACGCACATAAATACTGGGCGTCGGGGGGTTGAGCTTGTCCTTTGGCAGTGCAGGAGAGGGAGGACCGGGGGGCCGCGGCGGGGGGCATCTGTCCAGGAGGATGCTGCTGGTCGACAGGCCGTTCTTCCCCAGGTTCCTGCGGCCAGAAAGATCAGTATGAAAACGTATATACAGTAAAGGAAGAATTCAAACATGAACACTAAACAACTCGAGCAGACGCCCTCCGTCTTCTAAATGATGCTAACAGTGCTTTACAGCCAGGAAGCTGAAACGGACGGGACGTCTGACGATGGTGATTCTGCTCCCAAATGAAACTGGACAAAGCCACCGGGGGTGCGGGGTGAATTTCAAAGACATAAATGTCAGGCTCAGAGATAAAACGCCTCCGCTGAAGGCCATTGCACGCCCCCTAAACACGCCACAATTCCACGCTTCAAAAAATGAGCCTGAGCTTGGCTCGGGAATCGATCGTGAAGGCTAGCGCGAAACGTCTTTTGGACGCAGATTAGCACGCGACAGGCCTCAAAAATAAGACGCGCCCCACTGAATGGGTCGGG